AGATCGATGCTTGCATCGATCCGCCAAGTGCCCGAAATTTCTGCAGATCTTGTAGTAGAGGCGCCGCGGCCGTCGCTCTCCTGTGTTGTCGGCGAAGAAGGCGAGGCGTTCCTTATCTCGTCGCGGCGCTGGCCGCTGCTGGTCCATATCCCTTTGTTCGACGAGAAGGGCGGCGCAAAGGGCGGCCTCCGAGATGACCCCCTGCTGTCGGAGAAGCGCCTTGCAGGGCCGCCACTCTGGGCCGAGCCCTTGGAGCACGATGTTCACGAAGATCTCCTCAGAGATCGTGCTCCCCAATTTCGCGATTTGATCGCGTAAGCTTCGACAGCGATTCAGGTAACTGTTGGCCTTCTCTCCTGGTGCCATCTTTGTCTCCAGTAGCTGCTGGAGCAGGCGGCTCGACGACACTGAGTCCTTGGGTTGGTACACGCCGTTCAGGTGGCGCCAGGCGTTGAGGGCTGGAGCGGGCGAGGTCTTGTGTGAGCGAATGCTCAATTGCTCCGCCGGCGACATGTTCCGCAGAAGAACCCCGTACGCCATCAGAGACTCGTTGTAGTACTTGGTTTTTGCGTCGTCAGTATCCTCTGTAGGTCCCGAGTAGCTCCCGTCGAAATAATGATAAATCTGCGCGTTTTGCAGCAGCAGCTCCAGCTCGAAGCTCCAGGTATAGAAGTCTTTGCCGTCAAAGCACACACTTGTCTTTTTTTTTTATATGCTTAAAAACCTTGATTGCGCAGAGAGAATTGCTTCATCGCTGGGACAGGGAGTCTTGGGTGTTGAGCCATGTCAGAATGTTATTCTCTAGCCTGTAGTGGGGTGCTCTATAGTGAGTACAACCCATCTAGGGTTTGCTATATGTATCCTCATTGCTGCTAGTGAAACCCACCTTCTTCTCCTATTTCTCTTTCATATAACCTAAAACCTAGCTATGGCTTCTTAGCTTAAGCTCCTATCTTCACATGGAATCAGAGCTGTTACGCTCTTGGCCTGTGAGCCCATCTGCTTCCGCTGCTACTACTCTGCCTAACGCGCGCCTCGAGCGCGCGCCTGCCTGCCGCGCGCCTATGGCGCGCGGCCCTTTTTTCTTCCCGCCGCGCGCTCGTGGCGCGCGGCGGTTTTCTGACCGTCGGGCGCCCCGTGGCGCGCGGCGGTGCCTCGCCCCGGCCCTGCCCCGTCGCCCGCCGCGGCTCTGTCGCGGCCCCACGTCGCGGCCCCCCCCCCGTCGCGACCCCCCGTCGCGGCTCCCGTCGCGGCCCCCCGTCGCGCCCTCTCGTCGCCCGACGCCGCCCCGTCGCGGCGCCGCCCCGGCCCTGCCCCGTCGCCCGCCGCGACTTTGTCGCGGCCCCGTTGCGGCCCCGTCGCGGCCCTGCCCCGACGCCTGTCGCGGCCTCGTCTCGGGGGGGCCCGCGCGTCGCCCCTTCTGCCGCCTGCTCTGGCGCCCGGGGGCAGGACCGCGCCTCGGCTCCTCCTTTCTTCGTCGCGGCCCTACCCCCCCCCCCCCCCCCCCCCCCCGTGCATTCCGTGGTGCTGGGGGTGTGGGGGGCAGAGCGTGGGGGTGGCGGGTGTGGGGGTGGCGGTTATGTGTTCCTCCCCTTGCTCCTCCTCCTCCCTTGTCTCCCAATGCTGCAGCTGTCGCTGAGGGGGGTGGGTGTGTGGGAGCCTAGGGTTTAGGGCTTAAAGGGGGTGCTGTGGGAGTGGAGCTAGGGTTTGAACAGGGGGTGTGTGAGAGGGGAGTGGGGCAGTTGGAGGAGGTTGTGTGAAGGTAGCTGTCTTGTCGCCTGCAGCGCCTGTAGTCCGTCGCCCTTGCTTCGGTTGCCAGTGAGCCTGTTGCACCAGTCGCCAGTGGGTCCGTTGCTCCTGCCGCTCGTCTATAGCCGCGGAGCCAGTCACTCCAGTAGTCCGTCGCCCTTGCTTCGGTAGCCTCTGAGTCAGCCGCTCCTGTGCCCGTGCCTCTGCAGCTTCAGTCGTTGCCTCCCATCTTCTCTCCCTCCACAGTCTCTCCTCCTCCTCACTTGCCCTCTGTGATTAGCTCTAACTTTGCTTACCTTTGTGAACTCCTGCTCTATACCTGCTTGCTCATTGTACTGATTACACCCCACTTTGGCTATGGGGGTGTATCAGAATGTTATTCTCTAGCCTGTAGTGGGGTGCTCTATAGCGAGTACAACCCATCTAGGGTTTGCTATATGTATCCTCATTGCTGCTAGTGAAACCCACCTTCTTCTCCTATTTCTCTTTCAGATAACCTAAAACCTAGCTATGGCTTCTTAGCTTAAGCTCCTATCTTCACAAGCCATTCGTACCGTATCACCCCGGATATAAGCGCAGGCATATGTTAAGCGCATGCGCTTATATCTGGAGCAATGCGCTTATGGCCGATCCTCGATTATAAGCGCACCCCCTATAAAACCTTGACTTATTATAAGCGCATCAATAATTCTACAGTTAAAACCTAATTAATACAGTAACGATTTCCCTTTTGCAGCGAGTCCAGATCCGTTCCTACTTTGTTTGACTCGCTCGAGGCGAGCGATTGCAGGAGAAGCGAAACGGCGTGAAGCTGACTGACTGACAGCACATCATTGGGAGGGGGAGGGAGGGAAGATGTGTCAGTAGAGCTGCACTGTGAGATCCCCGATCGATCCTAGGGGGGGTTACAGGCGCGTTTGCCTGGGGGGTTATGGGCGCACTGACCCGCTACTGAAATAAGCCCTTTTATCCCAATGGTCTAGTGGTTGGGATTCTGACATGGTATCAGAGCGGTCTCGGGTTCGAATCCCGGTGTATGCACATGTAGGCCGTTGCCACTGTGCTCAGTCCTGGGCCTCCCAGTGTGGGGGGGTGTCAGTAGAGCTGCACTGTGAGATCCCCGATCGATCCTAGGGGGGGTTACAGGCGCGTTTGCCTGGGGGGTTATGGGCGCACTGACCCGCTACTGAAATAAGCCCTTTTATCCCAATGGTCTAGTGGTTGGGATTCTGACAAGATGGGCGCTGGAAACGACTGTCATGTGCGTTGTGCGAGAGAAAAAGGGGCAGGCGGGGGGGCTCGGGAACGACTGTGCCTCTGCGCTGCGAGCAAGCGACTCTGTGCGACTGGCTCGTACATTGGTTCGGGGCGAGCTTGACACATCCCTCTGCGCTGTGACGTGTCCTCGCCCCTGTGTGGCGGCAGAAATCGCCCTCGCGCGATTCTCTGATTTGGGACGCTATAATGTTCTGATTCGATTGAAATTGCACGACTGAGATGTACAGTTTGGTGAATTTAAAACATATTTCTGTAATTGTCATATTATAAGCGCATGCGCTTATAATTATGACTCAATTAGAAGTGCACCCCCCCAAAAAACACTGTTTTATTATAAGCGCACCTGCGCTTTTTTCCGGGGTAATACGGTATCAAGAGAGAAGCCTTGCGGGGCGGAGTTTTGGCCGTTTGAGGCCGGTTGAGTGGGTTGGGATGAAGTTCCCGCATCGCCATTCCGCAATGTTTGGAGCCCTTGCTCCAGACTCGTGAGTCGCTGAAGCAGTTGTGCGAGGACGGCGGAAGGGATCGTCGTCGTTTCCTCGCTTGTCGCAGCCGGGTTGGGCTGCGCTTCAACCGTCAGATTTGTCTGACCTCCAGATCCTCCGGCCATTCTTACACGCGATCGTGTGCCGGACGCCACTTTCCGTTCGCCGAAGATTTCGGTGGTGGCGGTGCGAAGGATTCCTGAGTCGCTCTCATACCATTCTGCGATCAGAAGTTGATCGTAACCAGGATCACCTCAGGAAGGTTCGCACACTTCTAGTCTAGTGGTGGTGGGCCCTTGACCTCAATAGCAGAGTGAATGTCAGGCCCCTAGATTCGTTTTGAGGTAGTCTGACGCCTCAGAGTACACCCCTCTTCCTAGTCTGGCTGTCAGAGTTACCTGTTTTTTTTAGTCTGAAAATTCAGACAAGCACAACTTTTTTTGTCTGAACTGTCAGAGTTACTTCAAATTTTAAGATGTTCATGCAGTTTCATAACAGCATAGCTATAATAGCATTGAAGCTGATTACAGCATACCAACGCAATTGTGCGGCCAGAAATGGGGCACTCTGATTGGTCATTTTTCAAGAGTTCGGAACACTGAGCAGTCAGGGTCGAGGTGTGGGCATCAGACAATGGCCTCGTGCAAGTGCCAAGTGTGGCAAGCTCACAATCAGCTGACCTGGCAGCAGGCACGGTATCGCTCGGCACTTTTCTGTGCTGGGCGCGCTGGCAGCAGCAAGAGTTTTCAACTGTGTACACCCTATGTGCGCGGAATATTTTCTCCGAAAGTTGCAGGTTCGAGATTTTGACTCGGTTTGGCAAGGGGAAATGATGTGCGGTTCTGCTGAAGTACGAGACTCATATGTGACAAGGCTTTCGCTTGCACCAATTCGCTTTTCGCCATGTGCGATTCGCTAAAATCGTTTTGGCCATGTGCGATTGGCTATCTAGTTTCACAATCTGAGGGTTATCATAAGCCTCCAATGAAATCGACACTCGAGATAGCGTCGACAAAGTAGTGTATTCTGGTGCCCCTACTCGAGCAGTTTTATCCGGAGGAAATCGTTAGTGCTGGCCCGTACACACGTGGGTGTATCGGAAAGAAGTTTCGAGGAATTTTCGTTCCGATAACCTTTCATTCAGGCTGGCGGAAACCCCTGTACAACCGGTTTCAGAGTGGACCCCCGATACAAGTCTGAGGCTCACCCTACACTACTATGACTACTCTGAAATTTCAGTGAAGTCAGTTAAAAAAACTCTGAAAAATCAGACAGGGTGGATAAAAAAATTCTTTGAGTTCAGACTAGGTACAAAAAAAAAAGTCTGAACGGACTCTGAATCAGACTCCAAAGTCTGATATCTAGGGCCCTGCGGCCTTGCCACAAATGCTTGCCAATCACAATAACAATAACAATGAACAAACTACACCACAAAACAGGAAAGAATATAGCTTCACCGTTGAGCAGCCCACTTCCGGACAAGACAAATCATGCCACCGGCGGCCTGAGCATCTGATCATTGGACGGGTCAACAGCAGACTGCGGTAACCACTGCCACATGGCCACTGGTGCCATCCCAGGCATGCCATATGGCATCATGGCAGGCAGAGGCGCCATGTACTGTGGACCAGCAGCAGCAACAGTCCCAGCAGTGCCAGTAGTGCCAGCAGGAGCAGTAGGAGCAGCAGCAGCAGGATGGGTTGGAACGGAGTATGCTATGTGACCTGTACCAGGGTGGTTCCCTGCAAGGGGATAGCTGCCTTGCATAGGTTGAGAGTGGGGGTGGGGCTGCGAATAAGGATGAGCCATCCCCCCAGTCATGAACGGCATGGGCATCAAGCCCATGGGTGCACCTAGTGCTGCTAGCTTGCCCGGCTCACACGCTGGGTGCAGCATCAATGGAACGGCACCGGCAGCACCAGAACCAGGAGGAGGGGGGGCAGCGGCTGCTGATGGGGCTGCTGCTGACGTGGTGGCGGTGGATTGGGCGGCACCGGAGGCAGCCATGCGCCGGACCTGCTCCTCTAACTGCTGCTTGTTGGCCAGCAGGCGCACCTTCTCCTCCCTCAACTCACTCTTCTCCGCCTGCATGCAAACAAGACGTTCAGCACAGAAGACATCATGAGACTCTTATGAGAATGGCCACATGCTCGCCATGCATTCCATCTTCACTTGCTCCACGAACCATGCTGACGTCAGCCCTAATTCAACAACGGAGAACCCTCTCTGTCCCGACTCAGTCAAGAACAGAGTTTTAGCAAAAATACGCACAGCAGCAGAGCACCGGGACACATGAGAGCACAGCGTTCGTTCCCACGCTGCAGCAGTGCACGCCAATCCACTGCACCTGCTCCACGCATCACTCCATTTACATCACACACCCACCCTCTCACACACCCTCCACCCTCCATCTCCAAAGCCTCCGCCTCCATTCCTCCTACCTCTTTCCCTTGTCCCCTTCCTCCCCCTCCACCCAAACTCCCCCTTTCTCCCCATTCCCCCCACCCCAACCGCACCTTGAGCTCGCGGATCTGCTCCTTCATCTGCTCCGCGGACCCTCTCAGCTGCGCCGTCTCCGCGCGCAGCTGCGCCAGCACGCGCACGGCGTCCGCCAGAATGCTCCCCCTGTCCGCGCGCGCCTGCCCGCTACCCTCTAGGGACCGCGCCAACTCCACGAACCTGGGGAACGGTGGCGGGAGGGGGGAAGTAAGAGACGCGTTAGGGAGGAGGGTGCGCACAGCGGGTGAGTAAACAGGTGTGTTGGCGGGAAGGGTGGGAAAAGGGGGTATGTAGAAGGCACGAAGAACGGGAATGAGGAAAAGAGAGGGAGAGGGAGAGGTGCAGGATAAGTAATGTCAAGGTGCCCAAGAAACAGCTTCCAACGAAAGCAGAAGTAAGAGACGGAGAAAGGGAGTGATGGAGAATTAACGGCACCCACCAACAATAACGCACCTGTCATTGAGTCGGTCGCGGCGCATCTTCTCCCGATTGGCCTTGCTGCTGTTAGCCTCGCACGGGTCCTCCCGTTGCCTGGCAGCACACGCCGGGAACGAAAACATTCGGGAGCGCACCACGAGAGCGGGAATGAGTCGGGAGACGGGCAACAAAAGAATCGGTAAGAATGAGCAGCCAGATCAATCAGTCCACTCGACACGCATGGAACATGGACGATCGGCCAGTAACGAGGATAAGGGACGAGATGGACGGGAAAGAAGAGGGGCAAAGAAATTGACTCACCGTTTATGAGAAGCAGCGACGCCGGTGCGGTGTTCGGCGTCCTTGCGACTGCCGTGCGACGGCTCCCTGTGCGACGGCTCCCTACAATGCGAGGCCTCCTTATCCGCGGCACTGCTCTCATTGGCACGACTCGACGTCCTGCACAGGGGCAAACGCGAGATACAAGTTCATGAGAAATGTCACGGAGAGTGTAAAAGTGAGCGACGGCACGGGGAGGAGACACGGGAAATGGCACGGCAAAGACGCAGCGAGGACCTGTTACGCCGTTATAGTGTGACTCGTTACACCCCTGCCGGATGAATTGCACTCACCTCTCAAGGTCCTGACACGTGGATTGCTGTTCGGCCAGCAACTTGTCGAGTGCGGTACCATCGCCGCCGTCAACGTCAATGTCGACGGAATTCGTCAAGTACCTCATCCACTGGCCGGTAGGACTCGACCCTGACGGCGCAGCCATGACGGCAGGATGTAGTGGAACGGGTCTCTGGCGGAGGGGACTTCTGGCGGGAGCAGCTTACGACGAATGAGAAGGCTTGTGAAAGGGGCGGGTGCTGATGGAAGGATGAACGGCGGGATTGGCGGCAAGCGGAGGAGGCGGTACGATAGAGGTTACGAAAAACTTAGTGGGGAGGCGGGGATGGTGGTTGAGAGTGTCGAAACGCGCTTGACCGAAGGGTGAGTCGTCAGTTGGATGAGGCGTGAGTTGGAGTATGGGGTGACTGGATGCGAGCGACGGCAGATGGCAGCCAATCGGTGAAGGAAAACACGACGGGTGGTCAACAGTTGGCCAGAGAAGAATAGCGCCACTTCAGCGACGGGTGCGGATTGTTCTAGTGGATCAACGGCAGATAAGTGTCAGAGTAGTCAGGTTTAAGACTAAGATTAAGTCACCGGCATGGACGTGATGAGTAGTTGGCAGCGAAATAGAGACGGGGAAGAGGAGCAGCAGCGTGCAAGGCGGCGAAGGGTACTCTGCTGTCTGCCTTGCACGTGCACCCTGCGCTCGGCTTTCCCGCTCTAATCGCAAGTTTCAAAAACACCTTCCTACCTCACCTGACACGTTAGCTAGCGACCAAATAGTACCGTAAGGTGGGGTAACGGCCCTTACACGTGAGCAACCAACCTTTTTGCTCAACAACCCTACGAGATCGACGGAGGTAAAACGCAGTCACGGAGGATACAGCAGGAGAGCATGCCACGTCACCTTTACTAGCAACCCAAAAAGAACCAACCGGCAAAACGCCACGCCACCGTAAGCGTGGAGGCGCGGCAGCAGTTGCCCCGCCCCACCGCTGGTGGTGCTCGTGGGTTGGGCTTGAAAGGAGGCGGAAAGAGCTCGTCGTCGTGACGTCACGGGGGAAGAGGGAAGGGAGGGGGGGCGGGGAGAGAGGAGGGGGTGTGAGGGGATTTCCCCTACAGACCTCCCTCCCCCCTCCTCGTATGCACGTATACTCCCCTCACCATCATGCCTTTTTCCCCTCCACACATTTGCTATCCTCAACTGGTGCTTGATGGGGGCGAGTTGATGTCACAGAACCGTTTTGTTTTGATAATGCACCGTTGTGGACTTTTGCGTCACCTCCCTCGATGTTGTCCTCCACTGAAGGGTCACCCTGTCCGACTTCCACCATTTTGAAAAGTGACGACGACGATGACGATCCTCTACCAACCAATTCCCGATGCGCCCTCCGCTCACCCAGTCCACACAAGCATGCGCGCGAAATGTTCAGGACCCAAGTTCCCCCACCCGGACAGGTCACAAGATTTGGTCCGAAGTGCGGTTTCGAGGCGGTCGGATTGTGCTGCGCTGGCAGCCAGCAGTGCTTGACGCGGGATCCTAAGAGGTCCACCTGTGATCTGACAGAACCCAGAGGACCTTTCGATGTTGGACCGCGCATAAAGCCTGATAACTGTAGCTATTTTGTTTTGGAGAATCATAACATTTTAGCAGAGCTATACAGTGGTTCACTTCAACAGAAACAAAAAAAAAATGCATTCGCTCACATCACACACATATATACAGCCATATGTATTCACAAGCATGCAATGCTAGCCGGTGTATCATAAACGGCTACATGCATACCTATTTCAGAAAGAAACTATTTGTAAATGTTTTATGCAAAAGGCACGAAGCTTAAAACACCCAACCCAACATATTTTGTGTTTCCTACAATCATCCGTCCGCCATGCCATCATCGGCTGTGCAGGGCTGCAAAGCGGCGTTGCATATCATCCTCCTCTTCCTCCTGCCACCCTGCCTGTGTGCTGTTGGCAAGGTGGAGAGGGAGAGGAGAGAATCATGATAGACGGACAAAAATCGCAAGACAAAGGAAAAGGGTGGAATTTATGTTATGAGATGTCTCGACGATTGATTGCACGACACAAGAGAGGGTGAGGTGGGGGTGGGGAAAGGAGGGAGGGGGGAAGGAAGGGTTTTGGGGGTTGGTTGGGGTGAGGGGAGGGTAAGGATTCGTTTTCAGAGGGATTGCGACACCAAGAATCGCGACGCCTGCTAGTAGGGATGTACCCGAAGAAATGATAGGTCTTGAATTGGCCCCAAATGTCTTTTACGCCTACATGCCTATGCACCAGCATGCATACCCATGCATCCATGTCCTGCAATGACACGGCAATGCAGCTGCATTCCATGCACCACATGCCATGCAAGCACATGCCATCCAGGCCTGCATCATCTTCTGAGTGACTCCAGGATCACCTTGCATGCCATGCACCACAAGCCATGCAGCACAAGCCATGCACCACAAGCCATGCACCACAAGCCATGCACCACAAGCCATGCACCACAAGCCATGCACCACAAGCCATGCACCACAAGCCATGCACCACAAGCCATGCACCACAAGCCATGCACCACAAGCCATGCACCACAAGCCATGCACCACAAGCCATGCACCACAAGCCATGCACCACAAGCCATGCACCACAAGCCATGCACCACAAGCCATGCACCACAAGCCATGCACCACAAGCCATGCACCACAAGCCATGCACCACAAGCCATGCACCACAAGCCATGCACCACAAGCCATGCACCACAAGCCATGCACCACAAGCCATGCACCACAAGCCATGCACGCACATGCCTAGATGGCTTGCGGTACATGCCATCCAGGCCGATGTCATCCCCATGTTACCACATGCCATTCAGCCATCTCCTTCCTCCCACATGCCATGGCAGCAACATCCATCCCACCAAAACAGAACAAGTTTTCAACACACCAAGACGCCTCTCCTTGTGCTGCTGCAGGCAGTCTTCTGAGCGGCACACTCGTGAGCTGCCAGAGACCTTTCCAGTGCCACATGCTATGCAGCCCTGTCATTCATCCCGTAAAAAAACACATTCCCAACTTACTGAGCCGCCTCCCCTTGTGCTGCTGTGGGCAGTCTTTTGGCCGGCACACTCGAGAGCTGCCAGAACAGGGAACGTACCGTGGGGGTTGAGGAGGGGGGAGGGGGGAGGGGGGGTGATGAGAGGTGTGGCTGACACGACGGGAATGGGTCTGATGGTTGCACATGATTCATGTGATGCTCTTGATGCATGCAATGCCACGTGAAGCATGTGAAGGACGTGAGGCATAAAATGCATGCACATGACAAAGTAACGTGCATGCAACCAATCAGGGAGCAGAGGGAGCACCTGGGCGGACATGTCGATGCCAATCTCATCCAGGATCTGGAAGAAAGTGGAGAGGATGGAGAGGATGGAAGCAAAGACGAAGAAGAAAAGGTGGAAGTGGTGTTTTGAGGCGCTTTAATAAGAGCAGTTGGGTTGATGTGTCGATGCCAATCTCATCCAGGATCTGAAGCACACGACACGTCGACCAAATGGTGACGGTGGGAGGAGAGAGGAAGAAGAGACGTAGGAGAGGGGTGTGGGTGGGGACACTCCCGGTCCTCGAATGGGCCGCTGAAACAAGGGACACATAATATGAGGGGACATTGCAAGTCGAAGCACGAAGTAAGAAGCCCTGAATGCTCGTCTGCCATTACAGCACGCGTGCAGCACACACGGAGAGACTCCAGAGGAGGAGAAGATGACCAGGAATATGGGAGCAAAGGGAGCATGAGGAGGAGCTTGAGAGAGTCATGAGCAACAGAGGGTATTTAAGAGCAGCGAAGCAAGGGAAGGGGATCGAGAACTAAAGGGAGCGTGGACAGTGACCTACATTCACATGAGACAGTAGATGGGTCAACACACATGCATGAGGCTTTTTCTGTAGGTTTGAGAAGGCTCAGAAGGTATTTCTGAATGAGAAGAAGTACGGCACGGGTCCGGTTGGGAAGCAGAACATGCATGCTGACATCAGCGCACCTGGTTGGTGATGTCATCAGCCTCCTCCTCCGTGTCGCTTGTATCCAGAGCATCGTCCAGAGCGCCGCCCACCATGTCGCCCTGCCATGTGCCATGTGCCATGTGCAATGTGCAATGTGTCATGTGCAATGTGCCATGTGCATGTGCCATGTGCAATGTGTCATGTGCAATGTGTCATGTGCCATGTGCCATGTGCCATGTGCCATGTGCAATGTGTCATGTGCAATGTGTCATGTGCAATGTGCCATGTGCCATGTGCCATGTGCCATGTGCAATGTGCCATGCGTGATGTGTGATGTGCCATGTGCCATGTGTCATGTGCCATGGGTGATGTGTGATGTGCCATGTGCCATGTGCCATGTGCAATGTGTCATGCCATACACCATGTGTCACGGGCCAAGTGCCACGCCATGCGCCATGCGCAGCGTGCCATGTGTCATGTGTCATGTGCCATGCGTGATGTGTGATGTGCCATGTGCCATGTGTCATGTGCCATGCGTGATGTGTGATGTGCCATGTGCCAGGAGAGGAGGACAGGGGGGCGGATAAGAAGGGTAAGGACAGGGAATAAATACCTACCCCAAACCTAGTCCAAGCCAAAGCTACTGTGGCCCACTTATACACTCTCTCATTGCATTGCAGGTTGCCCACTTATGCACTCTCTCATTGCATTGCGGGTTGCCCACTTATGCACTCTCTCATTGCATTGCGGGTTGCCCACGTATGCACTCTCTCATTGCATTGCGGGTTGCCCACTTATGCACTCTCTCATTGCATTGCGGGTTGCCCACGTATGCACTCTCTCATTGCATTGCGGGTTGCCCACTTATGCACTCTCTCATTGCATTGCGGGTTGCCCACTTATGCACTCTCTCATTGCATTGCGGGTGGCCCACTTATGCACTCTCTCATTGCATTGCGGGTTGCCCACGTATGCACTCTCTCATTGCATTGCGGGTTGCCCACTCCAAACTGCATGCAGTAGTCAAGCTGCTACCCAAAAGCCATGTGCCATGACCTGCAGCTGAGAAACAAAGCTGGACCTGATAGCCCTAGCCTGTTTAGCACATATTATCACTCACTCACTCACTCACTCACTCCCTCACTCACACATGAGCAGCCAAAACCACGTGGTCTAAAGAAGAAGGGCTAATATAACAGAGGTTTATATGGTGAACAAACTCCCTGGGGGATGCTTCTGCAAGCAATACCTGCTGCCACATTGCCACATAACACACCAGCCAGCATGCCACGTGGCACACCAATCCACCCACCACGTGGCACACCAATCCACCCACCACGTGGCACACCAATCCACCCACCACGTGGCACACCAACCAACCCACCACGTGATCCATCTTGGCGGATTCTCGTTGGAAATCTGCTGCCATGCGCGCCGCTGATGCCACGTCCATTTGCTGGCAAGGGGGAGAGGGGGGAGGGGGGAGGGGGGAAAGAGGATGAAGAAAAAGGATCACAGGGGGAGGAAGAGGAGGTGGTTTGCTGTCACAGCACCCACAGGGTACACAGGGCTCATGCAATTGAAAACAAACCACACAACACACTTTCCCTCTGTGATTGTTACTCGCTCTTGTACAGTCCGATACAGTCACTGTGATCTCCCTCATCTTACTCACATTTTCCCATCACTGTCCCTGAACTGCACATTTATTCACTATTATTCTTGCTTCTTATAGTACCACTCACTACAGTCACTCTCCTCACCTTGTTCACATTCCCCTTAACCGTGCCCAACCGTGCCGGCACTGCGCGCGCATTGATATTTCAGCCGAATTTCTTCGCTATCGTATCCTCCACTACTGAGTCACTCTTCTCACCTTGTTCACATTCCCCATAACCGTGCCGGCACTGCGCATTGCCCCTGCCACTGACACGTTGGCTTGGGCTACCTGAGGAGGGCGGGAGGAAGAGAGGGAGGAAGAGAGGGAGGAAGAGAGGGAGGAAGAGAGGGAGGAAGAGAGGGAGGAAGAGAGGGAGGAAGAGAGGGAGGGAAAGGGAGATGAAGAAAACAAGAAATCTAACCAGCCAAACAGGAAAGCAAATCACACAAAAAATGGTATTAAATCCCACGAACAAGAGATTTAATTACACAAACAAGAGATAGGATCACATAAACGAGATATTAGATGACACAAACAAACTAGAACTTACATCGCACAAAACAGAGAACCTATTAAGTCATTCCCTCACCTGCGCGTGCTGATGCCTCGAATCTGTGCTTTAGACTTGTGCAGCTTGGCACAAGACAAGCAGCAGCAGCAGCAGCAGCAGCAGCAGCAGCAGCAACGACAACGGCAACTCATTCATTCCTTGCCTCACCTGTGCATGTGTGCTGATGCCGCGAATCTGTGCCTTGGACTTGTGCAGCTTGGCTATCTGCGCCCTCACCCTCACTAGCTCCCTCGCCAGCACGCGCGCTGCTGCCTGGTAGGCAGGAAACACGTGTGAGTGGGAGACAGGAGATGCATGGGCATGGGGAGAGCAACTTCCCCTTGCTTTCTCTACCTGCGCTCTCACCCGCACCAGCCCCCTCGCCAACACGCGTGCTGCTGCCTGGTAGGCGTGTGGGAGGCATGGGGAGAGGTAGGAGATGCATGGGAGGTAGGAGAGGCATGGGAGGTAGGAGATGCATGGGAGGTAGGAGATGCATGGGAGGTAGGAGATGCATGGGAGGTAGGAGATGCATGGGAGGTAGGAGATGCATGGGAGGTAGGGGACAATAAAAAGCATATTTCCGCCTTGAATCTGCGCCTTGGACTTGCCAGCTTGGCTGTCTGCGCTCTCACCCGCACCAGCTCCCTCACCAACACGCGCGCTGCTGCCTGGTAGGCGGGAGGTGCATGGGCGCACATCGGAAACAAGACCAGACAGATCTCCTTCTGTCTGCGCTCTCACCCGCACCAACTCCCGCTCCAACACTCGTGCTGCTGCCTGGCAGGTGCGGAATGCGAGGGAGCAAGGAAGGTGTGTGTATGGGACGGATGGCATGGGAGGGATGTGTGGAAGCATGACACACCAACACCAACTCATGGGTCCCACTCTGCCCTCTGCAACTCACGGTTCCCTCTCTGCCCTCTCACCAGCACCATCACATCACATGAGTAATGAGGCAGATGACATGACATGCACACATGGCAACGTGTCATGCATTAGTGATGGGATGGCAGCATGGCATGCGTATCAATGAGGCAACACACTGGTGAGGCAATGTGGCACTATGGCATGCATTAGTGATGTCAGTTCTACCCACCTGCTTTCCACTCCCACTTGATTACCACTCCCACCTGCTTACCACTCCCTCCTGGTTACCACTCCCACCTGGTTACCACTCCCTCCTGGTTACCACTCCCTCCTGGTTACCACTCCCTCCTGGTTACCACTCCCTCCTGGTTACCACTCCCTCCTGCTTACCACTCCCTCCTGGTTACCACTCCCTCCTGGTTACCACTCAACCCTGGTTACCACGGGTTACCACTCCCACCTCTGCCCAGTTACCAATCTCACCCGGTTATGACCTGGTTACCACTCCCACTCGGTTACCACTCCCACCTGGTTACCACTCCCACCTGGTTACCAGTCTTGGCAGTCTTCTTGATCTCCACTAGTAGCTTCTTCTCCTGCCGCCCCACGTGCCGCCCACATGCCGCCCACGTGCCGCCCACATGCCGCCCACATGCCACATGTGCCACCCACATGCCATCCACGTGCCACCCACATGCCATCCACATGCCACAGCCAAAGGAACGGCATGCCACCAATTTTAGCAAAAGTGATGCATGGAAGCAACGTGAGACATGCATGAAGCACGTGAGAACAGCACTGCCGCCCACTACTCTACTCTGCCAACCTCTAGACTCCCCTGCCGCCCACTAATCCCAACCTGCCGCCCACTAATCCCAACCTGCCACCCACCAATCTCACCTCTGCCTGTAGATTTGCCACCTCCCTCTCTAGCCCTGCTTGATGTGGGAAATTGGGGATATGCGATGGCAGCAGATGGGGGGATGGCAGCAGATGGGGGGATGGCAGCAGATGGGGGGATGGCAGCAGATGGGGGGATGGCAGCAGATGGGGGGATGGCAGCACACCTCTTCAGTTCCCTTTCAGTGCGCCTCTAGCAATCCGCCGCACCCCCATCCATCCATTCCCCCCACACCCCCCATACCTAGTGCCAGCCTGACACAACCGCCTGCGCAATAGTCTCTTCTCAACCCACCCCAGCGCCATGCCCGCACCGCTGCCCGCACCGCTGCCCGCACCTCTGCCCGCACCGCTGCCCGCACCTCTGCCTGCACGCCTTGTTGCTCTGCCTGGCCGCACCTCTGGAGGCCTGGCACACCCCTCCGCATCCTTCCGCTCTCGTCTGCCCCACACACCTTTCCCTTCAACCCCCCACCACACTCCCTTCCCCTTCCCGCCCCAGTAGTCAAAAACCCCCCTCTTACCCCTCCAATAGTTCCCTGCACCTCTGCGGCGCCACTTCTCCCCCATTTCTCTCCCCCCCTCTCCCCACCCCTTCTACCCTTTCCCCCCATTTCTCTTTCCCCACTCCCTTTTTACCCAATTTCCCCCCCATTCTCTTCCCCCACCGTTCCTCCCTCGCTCCCACCGCTCGCACCTCTGACGGCCTGGCACATCCAACCCCCCTTGTCTCCCCCTTTTCGTCCCTTTCCCCTTGGCGCCTCCCCATTTTCTGCCCCTCCTTCCCCCGCCCTGTCCCCCCTCCCCCTTCCCCCCAGCGCACATCTGGCGGCCAACGCCATGCCCCTCTTACCTCCTCCCTTTCCCCCCAAATTTCCCCCTTTCTTCCCCCCCCACCCCCCTTCGCACCTCTGGCAGCCTGCGCTACGTCCTTCTTGCCTTGGCGCAGCGCCTCTGCCGGGGCGAGGCGGGGGGAGGGGAAGGGCGCGGAGGGCCGGGGAAGAAAGGGGCGCGGAGCGCGGGGAAAGGGGAAATGGGGAGAGGAGCACGGGAAAGGGAAGGGGGGAAACAAAGAAGGGCGGAATGAGGAACTGGGACGGGGAAAGCGTGGGGGGAGCGTGATGGGGAGAGCATGAGGAGAGGAGGGGGAAAGTGGGGAAAAAGCGGGAGCGCGCAGCGACAGGGAGAGATACGCGGACGGAATGACACGGGCCTACGCGCGAAGGGGGGAAAGGAGGAGGGGAAACGCGGGTGAAAGCGGACGGGGGGAGGGTACGCGGGTGGAAGCGGAAGGGGGAAGGAAACGCGGGTGGAAGCGGAAGGGGGAAGAATCGCGCCGGCGCCGGTTCTGAGACGCCTCAAAGCTCCATGCACTCTGGAAAACACACGGCGGGTCTCTCTGGGTTTGGAATTCGAGTGGCGCATCTCTCGCGTGTCGCACCTTGCGGCGAGGGCTTCTTCTGAAACATGGCGCGCGGTGTGCGCCTGCGTGCGATGAGCTGGCGCGCGGTGTCTGCTTGCTGTGCGGTGCGAGGATGCGGTGGGGATACGAGGAGCGCACGACACGCGGGGATGCCACGTGTGTGGTATGTGGCGAGGCGAAACGACACAATGCAGGAAATTCTAGAGCGTAGACGAGTTGGATTCAGCAGGACAAACGGTTTCGCACTATTGTACGCGAAGCGAAAGCCAAGCGGTGATTTGTACATGCTATTGCACTTCACACTTCACTAAAACCTATTCTCATTTGTAGCATGCAGGTTGAGTTCCACTTAGGGTTCTCCGTTGCAAGGATTTTCCCAATTCCTTACAGATTCACACTCTACACGTACGTTTCCCACTTTATGAAATACAGGCTCGGTCCGATGGCATCACCTCCCGATCGTAACCCGACTTGATGACCCCGGATCAGCACCCGACCTCATCATCCCGAAGTTCCCGCCTGCTGATATAACTGAAGGATCGAAGTGGATAGGATAAAGTTGCCAATTGTAAAAGAGAAATGTGAAGTCTCAGTAATGACCTTGTTAAAACCAGGGTGCACATTCAACGCGGTTCGGCTTGAGATGTTGGGAAGGGGGTTTGGAGAAAAACAGTGATTGGCTCACGAGGGGCGACAAAAAAATGATTCCGCTAGAGCTTCGGGCATTTCGTAGGTGGCGGGAGGGGGTGAAATGGCGGGAGTGGGTGAAACCGAATGGCGGGAGGGGGGAAACAAAATTGCGGGGGAGGGGGGAAACGAATTTCGACGGGGAGGGGGAAATGAAATTGCGGGGGCGTGGGGAAACGAAATTGCGGGGGAGGGGGGAAACGAATTTCGACTTGAAGGGGTTGAAAGCACACCTCGTAACCCACTCAGTCAAGGGATAACCTTTGATGCACATTCAGCTGAATGTGCACCCCGGTTTTAATAAATTGAAGGAGAACAAGATAATTATAAGATAGGAGTACAAGGATATAAATAGCATTCCTAGCTAGCCATGTACCCTGAGGGGTACATTCCCTTATTAACTGTATTGCATTGCTACAGTAACCCACGACTATTGCCATTCTAGACAGTTACCATGTTGCACTTCGCAACTGCCTCGTGCGGTTACCGGGCAATCAAGGGTCACGACTGTTGACCGTCTTCGACTGTTGACCTTCGGGTGACCCTCGAATTTCCGCGTGCTCTATATGAGCTATTGCGGTACTAGTACAGGCGTGCACTTCGTTATGGAGTGACGCGAGAGTGGAGAACCTTCGGGAATGTTTATCATAACCCTTCGGTTATTCCAACACTCCCCTTCATTCCTGAAGGTGGGCCACGTGGGACTTCTTGGTCATCCCGCAGAGGTTGGCGCAGTGCTGGAACTGTTGACGTGGCAGTTTCTTTGTCAGAAAGTCGGCTGCCATTTCACCACTCGGGCAGTACGTGAGCTTGACCTTGCCCTTGTCGATTTCGTCCTTGACGAAGAAGTAGCGAAGGGCGATGTGTTTCGTGCGGTTCACGAAGCCGGGCTTGTTCGCGATCTTGATCGCGCTCTGGTTGTCGCAGAGTAACGTGAAGTGCCCGTTCATTGTTACTTTCGCTTCCTGCAGAAGCTCCATCAGGTACAATCCTTCGCGAACAGCTGCGCTGGCGGCGATGAATTCTGCTTCGGTTGACGAAAGGGCGATGAGTTCCTGCTTCTGAGAGTTCCATGAGATGAGCCCAGCAGGTTGAAGTTGGAAAATAAATCCTGTGCGGGAGCGTCTGTTGTCAACATCTCCTGCATGGTCAGCGTCTACGTAGCCGTGTAGCTGCAGGGTGGCCGTTAAATTAGCTTCGTAGGTGAGGCCGACGTCGGGAGTAGAGATGAAGTATTGGAGTGCGCGGCGCAGATCCTGTAGATTCTCCCCTTCAGGTCGCTTCATGTATTGAGCGAGCTGGCTTGCGACGTAGGAGAGATCGGGCCGGCACGTGATGGCGGCAAATAGAAGGCACCCGAGCTGCTGCTGATAGAGCCGATGATTCTCAAGAGAGAGAGGCGTGGTGTCCGGTTCGTGGTTAGGAGGAGGAGTGCGAAACGGGGTGGAGAGGTTGATTGGTGCGATGCCGAATTTCTTCGCGAGTGTCTCGGCGTATTTTGCGGCGGAGAGATGAATGGAGGAGGCGGACTGGGTGATGTTGAGTCTGAGGGATTGGGAGACGTCGTGGTTGATGGTGACTTCCAGCTGTTCCGTGATGTCTGCTTCAAACTGGTCCAGTAGCTCCGTGTCGTCACCGGTGTAGAGGAGGTCGTCGACGTAGGCGACGAGGAGAATGAATTTGCCACGCGACTCCTTCCGGTACATTCCGAGATCGGCGTAAAAGCATTTGCAGGAGCAAAGTTCAGGCGATGTTTCCAAGGGAGGGGAGCGGGGTGGAAGGTTTACTTATGCAGTTTCCAACCTTGCATCCGATACGTCCTCCTCTTGGAGCCCAAGCAGGAGCCGTCAGCTGTCCCCGCAATCACAGGAACAGGAGGGGCTTGGTGGCCTGGATCTTCGAAAGGCATCCTCTGAAATGGTGGCGACAAACTTTCTGACTTCAGGCAGGGATCATGCTTCAAAGTCCGATGCAGCACCCCCGTCGGCAAAGTTCGTTGCGTTGCAAAGAGAGGAAAGCAAGGAGTTTGATTCGGATGGGCACTTGAGGATGGCGGGTAAATCAGGAGAACTTGGAGTGCAGGCTGTGCGAAGGGATTCTGATGGAGATTCCCAGGGGAGACTGCACAGCGGCAACTCAGGACAGAAAATTGCTGCTTCGAGCAGAGGTGAAGAGGCACAGTTGGGGCCTGCCTTGAAACTAAGAGAGGTCCCAGATTCCGTTGTGCCACCTGATGCTCACATGCATGGGCAGCAAATGGAGAAAGAGCAGCTACAGAAATCGATTGCAGAGCTGGAGGCGAAGACACTGCAAGGCCTTGTGAACAACAAGCCCCAGAAGAATGGGTTTGCGCCACCCAGCTCCAGCAATCCCTTGGCCATGAAAAAGCCAAGCATCAGCGCTCGTCCACCGCAGTATTAGGTTAGTGTTAGTGTAGGATTGCAGTGCTTAGGATTTAGGCATGTTACGAGGCTCACTCTGCTATCTGCTTGGCATCTCTCTGCGTTTGATGATTTGAGTATGGCCAGGACAATGATATGCAATTTTTGATAGTGACTTTGCGGATGGCATGCCAAGATGACTGGAGAGAGCATGTGCTACAGGAACTGTGTCATAACTGCTGTATTTACTGTATGGGCATGAGCATAGAGAGAAGGAACTCCGTGACTAGTTTTATTGAGGCACTGGTTTTTGTGTCCTATTAAACTGACAATTCGCAAAGCCGTTAACAAATGTTTTGTATCGGAGTTTGGCAGTCAGCAGGGAGGCAACACATCAGGTCAGACAATCCCATCACCTGTCCCCCCCAGCTTCCGCCAGTTTCACAGATTTTCACAACATACTGAATTTGCTGCTCCGTCATTCACCTGTCTCCCTGCTTTCCTGCTCCCACCGCTTCTTCCGAGCTCTTCACACTCTTATCCATCGATTTCGTTGCTCGTCTCGGCGTATTTCACCCTTGTCACCGTCCACACCAGCCGCCTTTGCTACAGCTGCGCAATCTGCCGTCTGCCGTCACGCGGCTCGCGCAGTTTCCTCTGTTTCTCCTCCACTTGCGAGACCTTTCAGGGATAGCGTGTCAAACCTTGGGATTGCCGCCGTCATGCATAGCGGACCCCCGCCAGTGGATTTTTCTTCTCCCGCGCAGCCCCCCGAAGCTGTTGGCGGAGCGGAAAACTACCCCGCGCAACCTTTCGCGCAGCCTTTCGCGGACCCTTTGGCGCAGCCGCAGATGACGGAGAGGGAGGCGGAGCCCTCCGCCGACCGAGACTCCGCGGGCGCTGTTCCCGCGCCTGCCGCCGCGGCCCCGCAGCCTCACCACCCGCTGCAGCAACCACCTGCGCACGGCGCCGCGCCGCAATCCTCCGCGCTGCCGCACGACGCGCAAGCCGCCGCGCAGGGCTCCCGCGAGCGGGAGCGGGAGGCGGAAGGCGAGGCGCTGTCGGTGCGGTTCAACCAGGACTTCACGTGCTTCGCATGCGGGACGCGCGGCGGCTTCCGCGT